TTATTTTTGTTACAGTTGTTTCTCCTTTCCCTCCCCAGACACCCTCCTTCTCATCCCCCCCAACCCCCGCATTGTTGTCTATGTCCATTGGCTATACATACATGCATGTAAGTTCTTCGGTTCATCTCATCGATTTACATCGGGGACTTGGCCTTTGATCTGAAACGTGGGGGCATTTATAGTAGTGGCTGTGGTCTGATTCTCTGCTCATCAGCCACGTTCTCAAAGATTTGCCCCAGCTCTAGCTCACTCAAACTGTAGAGGTGGGTAAAGGTCCCACCTTGCCTCTTCTTCTTTGTAGACATTTAATTTCTTGTATCCAAATGTATCATGAAAAGGGGTTTCAGACCTGACTAGTGGGGAGAAGTTGAATCCCCCAGACTGTCATGTGATATGCTTGTTCTTTCACGCTGAGTTGTGAAGTTCTAATGGTTCTGTGGTTTGCCCTCACACGTGATAAGGCAACGCTGAAGTGTAGTTTGCCCCTCTGCTTCTGCCTGTTGTATGGAATCCTGTAGTCAGAGAGAGGGATGGGACCTCAGAGGTCTCGGGGCCGAGTTTCGCAATGCCCGCAGTTTGTGACAGTGTCCCTGGATGATGGTCCTCTAGCTTCTACTTGTTTATGTGGAAGGAGCTACTGCTTGGTCTGTGGTCAGTCTTAATGAGTTCCTCTTGATGGTAAACCCAAATCTGTTCTACAGCTTCTCCCCATTAGACCTGTTTTGTCCTCTTTGAGCAAATCAAAATGATTTTTCCTCCTCCTCTACGGTACTCATTTAAATATTGAAAGGCAGCTTTCATAGCCCCTCTAAATGTTCTCTTTATCCCTGATCCCAACACCACTGACTTTCTTACCAGATGTGAGCATTTTGGTCACGTTCCTGCTTTGCCCCATTTAGAAAATGTCTCTCTCAAATGTGGAGCCGTACTGTAGAGATGGGCTCTGATCTTATGGGACAGAATTGAGTGATCACCTTGTTTGAATTTGAACAGTACATGGAACCTTGGTGTGTGTGTGTGTGTGTGTGTGTGTGTGTGCACGCGCATTATCGTCTAGGCCAATTTGTGACTACTTGGGTACATGCTCAACTTTCAGTTAACTCAAATTTTTAGGGGTTAAAGCCATTCCTTCCTTTTGTTAATCCTCATCCAAAGATGTGTTTTCCATTTTTCTTTTTGGAGTGGAAGGGGTAGGGAGGAGAGCAAGAGAGAGAGAGAGAGAGAGAGAGAGATGTGAGAGAGACATGTCATTTGGTTGCCTCCTGCACGTGCCCTAACCAGGCCCAGGGATCAAACCTGCAATCTAGGTACGTGCTCTTGACCAGGAATCGAACCTGAGACCCTTGGGTTTGTGGGTTGACTCTCTAACCACTGGGCAACACTGACTGGGGCTAAAGCCTTGATTAAGGCCCACTGTTAAATTCACATCAACTGTTGTTAAGATACCTCTTACACGTGAGCCTTTCTGCATTGAAACCCCACAGATTGCTGGTCCCAGGCAGGTTCTGTGGCGCCCCTGGGAATCCCTGCTTTCAGCTTGAGAGCTGGTTGAACCGTGATTCTCTCTCTCATCCAGTAGTTCAACCTTCCCTCCCAATGTTTGATCCCCTGCCACTGTGGTCAATGTATTTTAAAAATATATACCGTTGGATAAGAGTAAGTAGGACATCTTATGTCTTGATACTCAAGATGATTCTCTTAGGCAGGGTTGAGTCAACTGTGTCCCATGGGCCATATCCAGGTCCCTTACTGTTTATGCAAATGACATTCTGTTGCAACACAGCGACGCTCATTCACATCCATATTGTGTGAGGAGCGGCAGGGTGGAGTGGTTGCCGCTGAGGCCATATGGTGGCAAGGTCTAAATGACTTACCACCTGGCCTTTAAAGAAAAAGCTGGCGCCCCTCCTCTAAGGTGAGAGTGACTGATGAATTCACAGACTTTCTGTTTCTAAGCGAGGCTATCGCAAACCCTCTCCAGGGCTCCTTAGCAAAGACTTTTCATGGCTTCTTTTTGTGTGGTGGTTTCAAGTATTTTATGAGAAGAAAAACATGGTTAGATGTGTACTTATAAAATCACATTCTATATTTGCTTCCTCTCTCTTTACATGAGCTGATGGATTGCTAACATGTTGGTTTGGAAAGCTTTCCTCGGCACTGTTACTTCCGCCGTCTCTTGTAAATTGGGAAACTGTCATCACCAGAAATTGTCTTTCGAGTTGCAGGGGTGGCTCGATTTGGTGTTCATTTGTGTCTGGGGAAGGAGAATTGTGTCTTGGCATTAAACCTCCGTGACACTTATTACCGAGAAGTATTATACAATACTTCTGTGAGATTATAAAAGGAAGTGCGAGATCCCGTGGAATCTTCACTCTATTTTGAGAAAAAGAAGAAAAAAAATCCGTATTGCTCAACCAGCATTGTCTTACTGAAGCGTTTAGTAACGACACGATTTTGTTCTCGGATAGACCGTTAAGGTTCAGTTCACCAGTTACACAGTCAGACTTTCTTCAAGAAAGGCGGTAATGAATTCTCAGTAAGAGTTATTTTTCATTAATTTGTTGCTGTTGTTAAAGAATTGGATATGGTGGTACCTGTCACAACTACAGCTTTCCTTGTTTGGGGAAGTTGCTTACTGACCCACACGCAGTAAGACAGAAACCCTTTAGATTCCTTTCCCGCCGTGGTGTCAGCCCCGCCGGGATGTCAGATATTACATCACATTGATTCTTCGAGGGAAAGAGTGTGATGACCTAAAAATCGCTTTTGTGTAATCTTTGTGGCCTGGTCTTCTTTGAAGTATAGAGTATGGAGTTTTAGGGTTCACTTTTTTTTTTTTAAATCCTCACCCAAGGATATGTTTTAATTGATTTTTTTTAGACAGAGAGGAAGCGGGGGCGGAGAGAGAAACATTGATCGGTTGCCTCCTGTATGTGCCCTAAACGGGAATCAAACCCACAACCTTTTGGTATAGCGGATGATGCTCCACCCAACTGAGCCAGCCGGCCAGGGACACCTCCTAGTTCTTTGTGCCCCAGCCACACTGGCCTTTCGCTCTTCCCATGATGCTCTTCACCCTGAGCCTCGCTCCAGCTGGTTCTGGCCCGAGACGACTCCCCTCTCATTGCTTGTCTTAGCTTCAGAGCCCTTCCCCCATGAAACTCTCCCCTGGAGCCCTTTCTCTGTGGCTCCCTTGATAAACCCTTCACCACACCCCACTTTCCTCCATCCTAAGGAGTTGCTAGAATTTGCCGTTATTCATCGACTCATGTGTCCACGTGTCTATTGTGTGTCTCCCTCCTGGACAGTACATTCCCTGAGGGCAGGGTCTAGACTGGTTTTGTTCACAGTTGTTTCCCCAGCATTGGGCACTGAATGCTCAACAGATACTTCTTTCCTGAAAAACAGTTTCCTGAGATGGCCCCTTGGAGTGGGAAGCGCAGCTTGGTACTTATTGCAGTTGTATGGTGGCTAAGCTTGGGCTCCCACTGACATGACATGGAACCCCTGTTCCCATGCCCTGTGATCTGGAGCGGCTGTCAGCCCTGGGATTCAGCATGCACCCTGGGCCTCCACGGGAGAGGTGTGAAGCAGCCACACCAGTAGGCTGGACCCAGACACGCTGTCTCGGCGGGGACCTGGCTCTCACAGAGCGTGCCTTCCTTGGATTTGAGACGTTGTGTGTCAGCTGGGCCATTTTGAAATGCATGGCAAGCACCGCTCGCGTTTGCTTTCCCGGGTAGGACGTAGGGCGTTCCACAGTTTGGGAAAGCTGGCTTCCCCTGCTTTGTGCTTTAGTATAAAGGACCCTGGTTTGCCACTGCTGCAGGTACAGTAGAGAGAAGATAAAATTAACCTGTTTTGAAGATGATCCCATTCCCTTGGCTGGTTGTTGCATCTTATTTCTTCCTCTTAGATCTCTGTTGCCCAGCTCTTCGACACCTAAGTGGCAAATTTTCCAGGTGGGGGTGAGTGGAACCCAGCTGCCGGCCTGGGGCAGAGTTCAGACTCTGGGCATCATCGCTGTTCATGAGGATTCCCTATCACAGGGTGAATGGTCTCTTTGGGAGAAACCCTCACATAATGAGACACTGCAGAGGCGTCTGGTTAAATTAGGAACCCTTTCCTATTCTGAGTCACTTAATATTTTTCCTGTAATTTTGAGCTTGAATTTCCAGGGGCATTTTATTTGTTTGTTTGGAAAAATAGGGGTGGCACGTTGTTGTCAAGTATTTTGAGGTTCCCTTTTCTATTCTGGATATTTCTGGTCTCCTGGAAAGAGACGTGGAGAAAGCCACTAAGTCGCCAGCATACTGATGTTAAATGCAGTCTCCTTAGGTAAATATTTGCATTTCAGCATTGTCTGTTGTAGATCCTGTCCCAGCACAAAAGCCCCACACCAGCCCGTGGTTGGAGTCCGTGTGGCTCCTGTCCTGTCGCTCGCCCCTTGTGCCCTTTGCCAGTGTGCCCAGTGCTTACTGACTCGAGCTCCAGGGGCTCTGTCTGCTGGTACCTAAAATCCGCACAAGGAATTTTCAGCAGTGAAGGGCAGACTGAGTGTATTTAAACTTGTAGTCACAAACCTGGCCCTTACCATAATGTAGTCTGATAACTAATAAAGGAATGTAATTGACTTTTAAATTTCTGAGGAGGGGGCGGGGGGAAAACACCCTCAAACAGAAGTGTTCTGTTCACGGATGTGATAGACCCCCTTTGTGGTGTAAAGACAAGCACCTCGCTATTTCCCAGCTGTGTGGGGCTGTGGGGCCCATTTCCCCGGCATGTCACCCCACCTCCGCTTCCTTGAAAATATTTATGGAGCTCTAGCGTGTCCATAAATTTAGAAGGGATTCAACGGCCGCATTGGGAGGGTGAGATAAGGCAGCTAAATGTGGTGTTCATTTATTGCTGGGTGGGGTGGAAGAGGGAAACGCAATACTGACTTTTTCCTTTTTGGAAACCTAATCTGATGTTCTTTTGTTATCACTCTTGTTCTCCAGGCATTAAGTGTAACTGAAACCCTGATTAAACCCCTGGAAAAATTCAGGAAAGAGCAACTGGGAGCTGTCAAGGTGGGTGTCTAATTTGAGTACACTTGTAAACAGGAAATGCAGACGCCTCTCTGCTGCTGCTTCTCTGTGCACTTCAGCCCCACCGGCGAAGGTGCTGCTGGCACAAACCATCTGTTGTTTTATGTTTTAAATGTGCATTTTCCCCTTGGGGGGTGGATAGGAAATAGAAAACAAAACAAGAACACCTGGGCAGGACCGTGAAACCTCTCCTAGTCTTCTTGGGCTACACTGTTCCATAGAGTTCTGTGAGTACCTTGAACGGAACAGTCTGTTTACCCCGAGGGGAAGTGTCTGTCTCTGTAAGAGGGGCGCATTGTGGTGGGCCAGGCAGCATTGTGGAGATTCCAAACGCTGCTGCCCGCTGATGCCCTTAACCTAGCGAGAGGCTGTTAGGTTATCGGGGTGTGATTTCCTGCCATTTAGCAAACATTTACTGAGCTTCTGGCACATGCCAGAGTGGTTATCAGTGCTGGGAGTCCGAGATGAGCAAACCACACTCCGCACTCGCTGTGAGAGGGAGCTGGGATTTTGGGGGTGAAGCGGCGATCTTGCCCCAGGGAGCCTGGGATATATTTAGCAACTACTAAAATTTTCTTTAGAACCGAGGTTTGAAATGATCTCAGAAACACATTCCACCAACTTTTCCTGAATTCTGTGTGTGTGCTCGAGGGAGAAAAAGTAACATTCTGTGGGTTGTTAACCGTTTTTGGCTTGGCCCAAGGAGAAGAGAATAACATCAGTTTTAGGTAGGGGAGAGAGTTTTAAAAAAATTTTTTATCCTCACCCGAGGACATTTTTCCACTTTTTGTTCAGACAGAGTGGGAGGGAGAAAGAGGAAGAAAGAGAGAGAGAGAAACATCGACAACCAGGGCCGGGGACAAACTGCAACCGAGATATGTGCCCTTAGCGGGAACCGAACCCTGGTCTCTCTGGACCGCAGGCCGACGCTCTAATCGCTGAGCCAAACCGGCCAGGGCGGGGGAGAGAGTTTTTATATTTGTATTTTTTCCACATGGCTTGGGTATATGAGGTGTTTTATTTTTTTAAATCTTTCTAAATATAATATTAAAGTTTTTTGATACAAACTAACTTAATGGTCTCAATGGCTGTAGCTTTGAGGATGGGCCCAAAGAGGGCCAAGTTTTTAGTTGCTATTTATGGAATCAGTTTTCTTTTAAGTGATTTGTTAAACTGTAAGACACTTCTTTTTGACATAGTATTTTACAGTTTTTAGGCATTTTTCTTTTTCTGTTCTCACTTGAGGATATGTTTATTGATTTTAGAGAGGGGGAGGAGGGAAGAGACAGAAAATGATGCAAGAGAGAAACTTTGATCATTTGCCTCCCGTATACATACCCCTGACCGGAAATCAAACCCGAAGCCTATTTGGTGTACGGGGTAACGCTCCAACCAACTGAGCCACCCTGCTGGGGCTGGGGGAGGTCAGGGATGGCACCCACCCAAGTTCCCTTCCTGGGATTGTTAGCTGACCTTCATGAAGCTGAGCTGTGCCCTCTGGGTTTGCCCAGGACATTGGTGGTCTGGTTTCACACCTGTGACCTAGACACGTAATGGGCTTTAGTCTCTGATCTGTACAATAAAGGGCTTGGGGCTCTGACTGCTTTATTTGGTAGTTTTATAATGTTTTATCTTGTCTTAGGCTGTTTTAAAACTGGAACATCTTGGTTCTTTTCTCTTTTAACTTTTCATTGGTAGGTATTGAATGTAAACAAATGTCTGTTTCTTATTTTTCTTTTTTGAATGGGATGATGGAAGAGGTGGGCAAGAATTATGTTCTGGAAATGAAAAATGCAGGTGACTTGATGACTAAACATTTTCTTTTTAGTTACTGTCTACCCTACTGGGTTTTTCTAAATTTCTGACCTTGGATTTTCTATTGATGCCTCTCTGTCAGATGTTCCCAGCTTCTGATATTTCCTTGTTCAGAGTATATTGTATAAAGGAACTTGCAAAATAAATTGCCATAGGAAAAGGAGAAGTTATTTTAATAGTTTTAGTGTATGCCAGGAGCTGGTTAGCAGCCAAATGCTATCCCAGGTCTCCCTTTTCTGTTTCTTCATTGTTCTTCCAGCTTCAGGTTGATGGAGGAGTCTTCTTACTTTGTTGTCTGTACAGTATGTGTGTTGGCTGTTGTTCCTATTGATATTACCTTCAAGGAGGCCAGTCATTGCGGGCTACAGGCAGAAACCCCGCCCTTTTTATGGGCAGTTTTGTATATTACAATTAAGAGTGGAGAATGGCGATGTTCTCTTAATATATAAACATCTATGTGTTTTTGTTTTTTTTTAATCCTCACCCGAGGACATTTTTCCATTTTTTGTTCAGGTAGAGCGGGAGGGAGAGAGAGGAACAGAGAGAGAGAGAAACATCGATGTGAAAGGAACACATCGAGTGGCCACCACCCGCACGACCAACCAGGTCCCCACCAGGGCCGGGGACAAACTGCAACCGAGGTACGTGCCCTTAGCGGGAACCGAACCCGGGTCTCTCCAGACCGCAGGCCGATGCTCTAACCGCTGAGCCAAACCGGCCAGGGCAACATCTATGTTTTTTATTAGATTGTTAAATCTTTTAAGAGAAAAGACTATGATTTATTTATTTTCTAGTAGCCTCTACTCTGTCTTACTATGTAAGGTATCTAATAAATAACCAATTCTATGGATAATCCCAGAAGAACCAGGGAAGAGTTTGTAATCTGGGCATTTAATTATTTTCTACACCTGTGCTTTCTACACATTGAATCATATTTTGACAAATACACTGTCTTGTTCCACTGTCTTGTTCCACTTGCTACTTACCTGGGATACTGAAGAAAAAAACCCAAAACTCCAAAACCCAAAACTTTTCTCCTAGGTTATAAGGATCTTCTTTGAAATAGTATAAAATAGTTTTCCTGTAAAGATTAAGAAAAAAACCAAAAAGGTCTTTGAAAGTTGATCACAGCAGCCCGGCCGGTGTGGCTCAGTGGTTGAGCATCGACCTGTCCACCAAGAGGTTGCCAGTTCGATTCCCGGTCAGGGCATAAGCCCAGGTTGTGGGCCAAATCCTCAGTTGGGGGGCATGCAGGAGGCAGCCAATTGATGTTCTCTCTCATTGATGTTTCTATCTCTCTCCCTCTCCCTTCCTCTCTCTCTAAAGATTAACAAAGAAAAAAAATTCAAAAAAAGAGTAAGTTGACCACAGCAGAATTTTTTTGGATGTAAGTGACGGAATGTTTATCTTCCCTTCTCTCCTTTCCCATCTGGCTCTGCCCTACCCTCTGCCTTTATATCAAAGCTCTCAGTTCTCTTTACTCTTTTCTCCAATTTCCAGAATCCCAATTACATGTCTAACTTGGGGTTTCACCATCCTCTAAACTGCTCAGTGGCTTTGTCAGTTGGATTTTTAAAAAGCCCCGGAGTATTTTTCTACCGTTTGCTTTTTCTACGTGGATGTTCTTCAGTCACCCCGCTTTGGTTCGGGCGCATCCCTCCGCCCTGTAGGTTCTGCTGCGTTTCTCGCCAGCTTCTCCTCTGTTTAAAGAGCCCACTGCCCATCGCAGACACAGGCGGGGCCAGGCTGCGTCACCCAGGCTGCTGGTCAGTTTTCCTGATGGCCTAGCTCCGCTCTTACTTCCTCGGGAACCTGCCACCTCCCCCAGGAGGTCATCACTTATCTCCAGGTGTCCCCACCGCACTGTTGAGAGTCGTCTTAGGTTCAGGAAACGAAGACAGGTACCAAACCCCAAGGAGCCGAGTCGATGCCTAAACACACGGAGAAATACCAGGACTTGGTGAGCGCCCGGCGGGAGGATTTAGAATTGCTCGCCTGTATTTTCAAGCCACCAGGACATGAAGACGTGGCTTCCCGCCAGCAGCAGCACGTGGAAATCACGCGAAATCCTCATGTGGAAATCATCACGTGGATGCAGCTAAACTTACGCCGACGATAGAGCCTATTTAAATGCTATTTTGCAGAGAGCCAGTTACCATTTTAATTCAATAGAATAAAACGTTCAACCAGAAATGCTGAAAAAACCATTCATTTCATATAACTTCCTGCCTCAGCTGTTACTATCCACTCATGCCAAATTTCTTTTTTTTCCCCCAAGACTGTCTAATGACTGTTTAATAAAAATGGACGTTTTGCGATTCTGTAAATGACTGCAAAATATGGATTGAAAAGCAAGTCTAGCTGAATCATTTTTTTATTTTTCACTTACATTTTACATTTGGTATTGTTTTGTATTAGTTTCAGGTGTACAGTTTAGAGGTTAGACAATCATACTTTACAGAGTGTTCACCCTGATATTTGCAGTACCCACCTGGCACCGTACACAGTTATTACAATATTACTGAGTAATTTCTTCAGTGCGAAAAAGCAGAAAAGAATGTAGATTTAATTGAATTAATTTTAAAACTTTTTTTTTTTATCCTCACCCGAGGATATTTTTCCATTTTTTTTGTACAGATAGAGTGGGAGGGAGAGAGAGGAAGAGAGAGAGAGAGAGAGAGAAACATCGATGTGAAGGGACACATCGAGTGGCTGCCACCCGCACGACCAACCAGGGCCGGGGACAAACTGCAACCGAAGTACGTGCCCTTAGCGGAAACCGAACCCGGGTCTCTCTGTACCGCAGGCCGATGCTCTAACCGCTGAGCCAAACTGGCCAGGGCTTAAAACTTTTTAATAAGGAGAAACTAGTGCTTATCACATGTCACAGTGCGAGAGGTCACGGCTGGCACCTCTGTGGGGAGACTGTCAAATATCAACGCGAAAGGAACACACTGCTGCATGCTGGGTGCGCGGGCACACACCCTGTCCTTGCAGTGTTGGAATGCCAGGAAAGTCTTTCGGGAAGACCTAATTCTTCCTTGTTGAATCCTGTTTCTGCCCCTTAATTCGCTTTGTGATTTGGGGTAAGTTACTCAAGGCCCCTAAGCCTTCGTTTCCTGATCTTTAAATTGATATCACCTTGACCAGTGTCGCTCAGTGGTTAGTGTTGGCTCGCACACCGAAGGGTCTCAGGTTCGATTCCTGATCAAGGACACGTCCCTGGGTTTCAGTTTGATTCCTGGACCCCGTCAAGGTGCATGTGAGAGGCAACCAATCGATGTGTCTCTCTCTATCTCCCCCTTTCTCCCTTCTGTTCTCTCTAAAAAATCAATGGAAAAAGTATCCTCTGGTGAGGATTAACAAATAAATAAATAAAAAGACTAATGACAGCTGTCTCAGAAGGTCATCATGAGGACCAAATGCATCTGATAATGCATTTCCCATGTCTCCTGCAGGGCCTGGCATGTGGACTTGCAGTTACTTAATTATCCCCCTTTATGGCTTGCTCTGGAACAGCTTGCCAAACAAGAACTGCTCAGGTTCCTGGCCACTCTGCATGCTGGGTTCAGAGGGGACATGCCGGAGCAATGCAGTTCAGGCTTATGACCCTCCTAACCAAGGACTAGAGCCCAGGCGATGCTAGGTGACTGGAGCAGCTGCCTCCTCCTGCCCTGATAAATAGCCAGCTCTGTGGATAATTCCAAGAACTAGGGAAAGGTTTGTAATCTGGGCAATCCCTCCTCCTCTGGCAGATGTCTCCTGAATCCCCGCGGGGTGTGCAGTGAGGAGCTCCACTCTGCTAGTGGGGATAAAAGCTGAACTCACCTCTTTGGAGAGGCTGAAGGAGCTTAAAGGAAAGGGGCAGAGAGGGAATCAATAAGGCAAAGGGAGTGTCACGTGGGAAGGGGGACATTTGGTGCAGGAGTTAAGGGAGGGTGCTGCTTCCTCACTGGAGTGGGGAGGGGCTTCATGGAAGAGGTGGCATTTCTCCTGGGCTGCAGGGTGTTGGTACACTAAGGGAAACTGGTTGGCATGGATATGTAGGATTTAGTTTTAAAAGTACTCCTGCTAGGCCCTGGCCAGGTGGCTTGGTTGGTTGGAGTGTCATCGTCCTGTACACCAAAAGGCTGTGGGTTGGATTCCCAGTCAGGGCACATACCTAGGTTGCAGGTTCGTGTATTGGAGGCAGCAGATTGATGTTTCCATTTTCCTGTCACATTGATATCTCTCCCTCCTCCTTTCTCTATCTCCCCCCCCTTCCTCTGAAATAAATAAAAACATATCCTTAGGTGAGGATAAAAAGAAAAAGTGTCCCTGCTGGTATATTGCATGCAGTAGGAATCTAGTTTCTTGTATGTGTGCCATTACCCCACCTCTTTATTTAAATAACAAGGGAGAAAGAGCCGGAATCCCTAAGAAAGTATTTAAGCTCTACTCTAGACTAGCCATGCCTTATTAATAATTTGATGTTTATAGTTTGAAAATAAGCCTTTTCATTTCCTCCTCCTAGAAAATTTGTAAAATACAAAAACATTTTTAAAAAGTCATGTGGTCACTTAAAAAAAATTTCTCCCCTTCTTCCAAAACAAAACAAAAAATTCTAGTACCCTGTAGAAATGTGGATAATTCACAGTTAATGTTCAAACTTTTGTGAATTCTTTATTTATGTATGTTCTTTATCCATTTTTTGCCCGAAATTATGAATTTGTGATTTTAGCAAAAAATCGCTTAATAAAGAATGTTTTATGGGTTGCAAATATTTATTTTTCTTACATAGTAATGGTCTTGTCTCCCTGCTTAGTTGTTTGCTTTTTGGTTTGTTTATTGTGTATTTTTTGAGATCTAGAAGTTCTTAAGGCTGCTTCTGTTGCTTTTTGGCTTAGAAGGCCCTTCTCCTTCTGATGTCTATGAAAATACTCTCTTTTTTATGACTTCATTTTTTACTTGTGATTCTTACAATCCATCTGGAATTAATTTTGATAAGAAATATGATGCTCACTCCATTTCCAGTTACTCTAGCACCATTGGTTGAGTAATATATATTTTTACCCAGTGATTTGTAATGAGATATATATATATATATATATATATATATATATATATATATATATATATAATTTCTTATGTATTCAAAGGCCTGATTATTTAAATTTTGGTTCTTAGGTTTTTGAATTCCCTCTACCAGTTATACAGTGTACATCTTATTTGAGCAATTATGCTGTTTTAAGTAATAGCTCTTCTTTACTGTTTTTTTTGTTTTGCATGTGAGATTTTACGTGATTACAAGCTGACTTCCCATGAATCATATTCAACCTGTAGACATAATTTTGTTTGGCTACTTATGTCAAAAAAAAAAAAAATGTGTTGCCACTATTTAAAAATCACTCGGTTTTTCAGCTCTTCCGGAAGAACCAGAGGACATAGCCTATGTGCTAGGCCTGTGTGGTGCCGCCTCCCCATGTGAGGGCTTTGTGGTGTGCCACCTCCCACCCGCCGCCATGAGCTCCGCTCCAGCTTCCTTCATTCACTGTCTTACTGCTTGACCTGGACTTGAGTTTGTAATGCAGTTTTATTATTTACATATATTTATATTTATATACACACGCACACACACATATACTATATATATTCATTTTATTTTTATCCTCACCCAATGATATTTTTCCATTGCTTTTTTAGATAGAAAAGGAGGAATGGAGGGAGGGAGGGAGGGAGGAGGAGAGAGAGAGAGAAAGAAACATTGATGTGAGAGAGACACATCGATTGGCTGCCTCCAGCACGACCCTGACTGGGGCCAGGTATCAAACCTGCAACCGAGGTACATGCCCTTGACCGTGAATCGAACCCACAACTCTTCTGTCTGTGAGCTGACACTGTAAGCGCTGAGCCAAACCGGGTAGGGCAAGAAACACGATTTCAGCACAGAAAAGAGATAATACTATTCTATAAGGACACCGAGAACAAATGCAGGAAAGAGGAATTATCTGAGTCTTTCCCCTCTACAAAACAGCAGCATTAGTGCAAAACCACACCCGGTGGGAACGAGCGTCTCCACTCGCTGGTGGGGTCCTTTCTTGCCTCAATTCTTCCTTCACGAAGCCTTGATTGCACCACTCGCTTCATCGCAAGCCTTGCCCACGTGTTGGTTTCCATACCCCACTGTTGCTGGCTGTGCTGGGGCTTTGGATGCTCATTTGTCCCAGGCTGTGACTCCGATGAAATCATACTGGTAAAAATGTTTTCGGTATTCTGGTAGGTAGTAATCTGCAAGGACAGTGAACATTTAGCATCCTGCATGGCCATAACTGAAACTCGAGTCTCCGATCCAGTGTGCACTGTACAACATCAGCTCTAATTATTTATTTATTTTAGAGAGAGAGGAAGGGGGGTAGAGACACTGATTTGCCCTTCCACTTATTTATGCATTCATTGTTTGCTTCTTGTATGTGCCCTGACCAGGGATTGAACCCGTAAACTTGGTGTATTGGGTCGACACTCTAACCAGCTGAGCTACCCAGCCAGGGCTATCTATCAGCTTTTTAAAATAGTGAAGTAATGCCATATGTTTGTTTTACTTTATTTTTCTGCTTTTAAAATAGTTGATGAAGAGTGTGATCATGCAAAGCAGAAAACAGAGTAACCATATATCCATGCCTTGAACTTAAGAAAAAATGGTTGTAAATTAAACCTAGGGCATAAAGAAAAAGTGCTTCTATTTCAACACAGTTTGTTCTTAACACATGGGTGAGTCAAAGGATACAGAAAGTTAGGATTGGCTCTCTGAGAGCGCTAGTCCCAAAAAAGTCCTGATGTTCTCAATAATAAAACTATAAAACGAAGGTTCATGTTGTTAAATGTTTTTTGTTTTGTTTTTTCTTTTCTTTTTTTTGAGTTGTGCAGCTAGCTTGTAATTAAACTTGGAGTGGAGATGGGAAGAAATGTCAGTACCGGAGTGCCTTTCTTCTCCGTCAGTGTGGGGTCTTCAGTTCCTGTCCTAGGTTCCCACCACAGCTGTTGGTAGTCCTGTGGAGCGAAAACAATAGTGATACATGTGAAGGAATAAAATGTATGTGCTTTATTCAGTCTCTTTGCCTGATCATACAAAGATCATACCAGAAAGGGCTGGACTCGTTCATTATCCTTGCTTGAGAAAATGGAAGTTGGAAAATAGGGAAGAGAATGTTCTTTTCCCGGAGGCCTTGGAGAGTCAGGGAGAGCTTGAAGGTAATGGAAACATTTTGACAGCTTGAGGACATAATGTACCCTCATTGGTGCTCAGAAATGTTTATAAAAAAGTCTGCTTAAGTTGGCAAGCAGTGTTAGGGGACATGCTCTGCCTTTTCTGCATTTAAAATGTTGGATACTTGTTTTCTCAAAGAGTGTCTGTGGCAAAAGAAAGCGAATGCTAGTTCTACGCAGGCGAATGCTAGTTCTACGCAGTGCCTGAGAGATGTTTGTAACCTTAACCACAAGGGTCTTCGCACAGGGAAGTCAGTGTTAGTTTAGGCCCTTCAGAATGTGTTCTAGAAATCACTGCAGAGGTTGGGAAAGTAGATGGCATTTGTGGGCAGAGGATCTTATTGTTATGGTCATGCGAGAGAGAGTTTAGGTAGGAAGAACCTTTCCCAAGATTTTTTCCCCCCAATGTGATTATTATTATTAGTAGTAGTAGTATTTCTTTTTATGGACAGAAAAACTTACTTAGTTTTAAATGAATTTCATTTTTATGTCAAAATCTATAGCAAGTTTGCTTTTTTAAGCTTGATGTTTTCATTATGTATTCTTCTTTGACATTTTTAAAAAATGCGGGACAAGTGACTTGGCATTAATTCTAAACACTGACGAGTACGCAGAGTTGAAAAATCACGGGTTTGGAAAAACGCTCATTCAGGGAAAAAAGAAGAGAAAAAGTGATTCTTCCATTCTAACGCCGTCTTGATGATTAATAAGCAGTGGTGTGGGTGCAGGTAGATTTTTCAAATAACTTCATCACATTTCGTGGTGTTTCTTTCCTTTTCAGATTATTTTTCATATTTTGAGCTTCCCAATGGATTTACTATGTGTATGCATCTTTTTTCCCCCTGTTTAATCGTAGTTGCCTGTGTTTTTCTGATTTGTAGGAGGAAAAAAAGAAGTTTGACAAAGAGACAGAGAAAAACTATGGCCTAATTGATAAACATTTGAATTTATCAGCAAAAAAGAAAGACTCACATTTACAAGAGGTATTGTTTTTCTTTTTCTTTTCATTCGTTTCTAAATGTAATAAGGAGTGCATGTCTTTTGAAAATATGTGTTAATTTATTGGGGTGACATTGATTAAAAAGATTGTCGGTTTCAAGTATAGAATTCTGTAATACATCACCTGTAGATTGCATTGTGTGTTGTGCCCAAAGTCAAGCCACCTTTAGTCACCATATATTGTTTGCATGTCTTTTTTCTTTTTAAATTTATTTATTTATGAGACAGAGAGAGAAATGATTTGCTGTTCTACTTACTGATGCAGTCATTGGTTGATTCTTTTATGTGCCCTGACCAGAAATCAAACCTACAACCTTGAGGTATCAGGATGATGCTCTAACCAACTGAGCTACCTGGTCAGGGCCTGCATGTCTTTTGTTTTTTTTTTAAAGGAGCTTTTCTTTAAAAAAACAAAAACAAAACTAAACTAAAAAAAAACAAAACGGTTTATTAATTTTCGAGAGAGAGGAAGGAAAAGGGAGGGAGAGAGAGAGAAACATCAATGTGAAAAGCATCTATCTATCGGCTGCTTCCTACACACCCTCTACTAGGGATCGAGCCTGAAACCTGGCCATGGGCTCTAACTGAGAATCCAACCAGCAACGGTTTGAGGCATGGGACAACGCTCAACCTACTGACCCACACTGGCCAGGAGTTAAAAACGTTTCATCTAGGATATTAGAGATGGAAAAAAAAAAAAATGAACATGTATTCCCCTGAACTAAGGAAGAAGAATTCTTGTGGAAAAAGACACAAAATAATTAATGCATCTTGTGGCGATCCATTCAGTGTGGATTCATAGTATTACAATATTATTTTCAGGAAAACAGTCATTAATTGGCTTTCAAGATTTCTTGAAGAAGTGAATGGAACTTAATAAGCCTCACAGACCATTTTGCTTTTATGTGAAGGCAGCATTAATCGTATTTAACGCTGGAGATTGAGGAGGTTCCGCCTCACTGGAAGGCGGACATCTGTTTTACTTTTGTTAATAGACTCTTTTTGTTGTTGTTGTTGAGGGAGTCTACATAAGGAGAAAGGAATTTATATCTTATCTCTAATTTCCTTTTCCTCATTTCTAAATTTCCTGCCGCTTGCTTTCCCCCTCTTACACACTTGAATGCAAACTCAGTGGTTTTCAGTTGGGAACATATGCTTTCATTAAAAATAATGCTCTGTGCAGCTGTTAGGCTTGACTCATCCTATAAAATTGTGACTTTTCCCCTCATTTGCTTATTTTTAAACACATAAGGAATCCAGGCGTCACCGGCCACTCCAATACTCTTACTGAAGAATCCTCAGACAGACATAAGCAACAGGACGAACCTGGGATCTTGTTAAATGTCAGACGTCGTTACAGACTGTGTGTGGTCACTTTGACATCACCCACATGTCACACTTTCCTTTGTCTCTTTAATACCATTGACTGATATTTGGGTGGCATTTGACGGTTTGGAAAAGAGAAAGAAGCTTTTCTATCACTTAATCCTCATGACAATACCGTAGGTAGGTGGGGCTCCCCCGTTCTCCTTGTTCCATATTATGGAGAAAATTGCAAATGGTCACACCTGCTCCTCATCTCTTTGCCGCTGCCAATTGTGAAAGGACAGCTGTGGTTTATACAGGCTCTTTTTAGCCCCCCTCCCCCCCATTTCCAGGTATCCCGAAGGGATTGTCCTGCCCCGAGTTAATTTCCATTTCCACTTCCCTATCGAGTTGGGTATATCGTTCTAAATATTGCTCAGGCAGAATCTTTAGAGGCGTGCTTGGCCCTCTTCTCACATCCACAGCCAACCAGCCGGCGTGTCTTCAGTTTCGGAACAGATTCAGGGTGCCCGCTTCGCCCACCCCCACGACCCCGGCCCAGCTGCTGGCATCTCTCGGCAGCTCCCTGCAGAAGCCTCGTAATGCGCTCCCTGGTCCCTCCAGTGAATTCCGACAGTTTATTTTCTATACGAAACGCAGAGTGAGCCTTCTGGTCGCCCTCTCCCCCAGACCCTTCCCACAGCTCCCTGCAGAGGCCCCCACTGCGCCCACCCCACTGTGCCCACCCCACTGTGCCCACCCCACGTGGGCCGCCGTGCTCGGGCCGGCCTGGGGCAGGTGGATTCTGACTCGGGCTTTGGCACCAGATCTTACTGCCCAGTCTATTTCTAACCCGGACCCGCACTTCTTCAGATGCTTTTTCAAATACTCTCCACTCACAGGTTACCTTTTATCCAGTCTTCTCTGACCTTTCCTACCATTAACTTGCTGCATTGCCTCACAGAACCCGGGAAATTATTTACTTACGTTTACCACTTTATTGTAAAGGATGATATAAAGGATATAGGTGAAGAGCCAGATCAAGACGTACTAGGCCAGGTCTGGAAGGGGCCCAGGTATAGAAATTCCTGTCACCAACATAGAAGCTCATCAGCTCTTAAGAGTTTTATGAATCTGTCCCGCCCCCTCCCCACCCCATTCCTTCCCCAGAGGTGTGGGCGGGGCTGAAGTTCCAACCCTTTGATCACTTGGTCTTTCTCCAGCTGTCTAGGGGCCTCACCTCATTCCCTCCTTAGCATAATCTCAGGTGTGCTCTGCAGGGGCTGCTGTGTATGCGAAACAACACTCCCACCACTCAGGAAGTTTTGTGGGTTTGAGATTTGTTCTAGGAACCTGGGGCACAGACCAGATATATTATTACACCACATATAGTAACTGCCTTTTAGACTTGAGCAAGCTGAGGAGGATGCTGCTAGGTATAATTGGCTGTTGGTGGCATTGTTGTAAACTGTGGGCTACTGGCAATGTCAGGGTACTTTAATGTCAGGGTGATTTAATCGCACGGCACACGGTCCGGAAGCTCCGAACAGTCGGAACATCGGGCATGTGGCTAGCAGTGGACTGGAAATGCTGGGGTGATTGCAGTATCCCCAGCAACCAGGAGGGAGAACCAACTTGCTAAATCTGACCCTCGTATAGTTCTCTTGTAGGACATTTTCCAATAACAATGATATGAAGAAGCTACTCATAGTGCCTTATATCTTTATTTTGTTAAATACTCAACAAAATTACATTGCTTTTTGCTGGGAGTTGTGCCTGTTAACTGCTGGTGACTGAACTATCAAACTCTGGTTTTTAGAGGCATAAACATATCGTGATTCCAAGTGTTAGGTAGAAGTTCTCATTTTGGCTTAGTAACACTCATTTTTATATTTAAATATTATTTTGCTTAAAAACATAACCTGATGCTAAAAAGTTTTTATTATTACGTTAAATACTTTTTTTCCCCTCCACAAAAATTAAAAAAAATTATTCTGGTAAAATACACAAAATATAAAATTTATGACTTGAAGTATTTCCAAGTGTACAGTTCAGCGGCATTGAGTACATTCACATGGTTGCCAGCTCTTACCATCCGTGTCCAGAACCCATTTTCTCCACCCCCTGCCCCTGGCAAGCACCATTCTATTTCTGTGTCTCTTAATTTGACTCTTCCAGGTCCTCATAAGTGGAATTGTATGGTATTTATCCTTTTGTAACTTGCTTATTTCACAAAGCAAAAATGTCCTCAAGGTTCATCCATGTAGCATGTGTCATTTTCTTCCATTTTTGAGGCTGAAAAACACTCCATTTTGTGTAAACACCACATTGTATTTATCCATCTGTCTCTTGGTGGACACCTGGATAGCTTTCACATTTCAGCTCTTGTACATAATGCTGCAATGAACATGGGTGTACAGATATCTATTGAGACTCCATTTTCAGTTCTTTTGGGTATATGCCTAGAAGTAGAATTGCTGGATCATCTGGTAGTTCTGTTTTAAATTTTTTTGGAGACGTGCCATACTGTTTTCCATCGTAGCTGCATCATTTTACATTCCCACCAAAAGTGCACAGGGGTTCCCGTTTCTCCACATTCTTTCCAACACTAATTTCCTGTATTTCTGATCATAGCCCTCCTGATGGGTGTGAAGTGGGAACTCACGGTTTTCATTTATTTGTATTTCCCTAATGATTGGTGAGGTTGAGCATCCTTTCATGTACTTGTTGCCATTTGTATATCTGTTTTTGGAAACATGTCTAGGTAAATGATTTTAGAAGTTAAGATTAGCCACATTAGGACGTGTATCACCTGGTGGCGTAGGAATGGGTTCTAGGACCGGAGTTCGCTGTCCCTCTGCGGAACTGCGCTCCGCTCCCATTTCTTTCTGGTTCGACAGGAGAAGCTGAAACCGGTTCTAGGGGTAGTGCCCTGCCCCCCTGGTGCCTGTTCACGCCCAGGGCCGGAGCACGACCGAGTGCGGTGGGCTTCCAGCCCTGGCCGCCTTAGGGAGCCGGGCCCCCAAGGTGTTGGATCACTGCCCTCCCGCACCTGCTGCCTTTGTGGACGCACACGGAGCCTCTTCCTGGCCATCCTGGAGAGGTGTGCATGTGCATACTGTCTGTGAGACTTGACTTATGTGTTCAGCCTTGGGTGTCAGCTGTTTGGGTTTTTCCTGAAGACCTTGACTGTGTCATCATCAGGGCTTCAGGGTCAACCTCATCCCATAGACCAGGGCTGGCAAACTGTGTCTGCAAAGACTCAGATAGCAAATATTTTGGACTCTTGCAGACCATGAGTCCCTGTTGAAACCTACTCAGGTCTGCTGTGGTAGCAGGAAAGCAGCCATCCCTGAGTGGCACATACACGAAATGTCATAACTATGTTCCAGTTCAGCTTTACGCAGAAAACACAGGCAGTGGGCCATGCTTGACCTGTGGACCAGAGTTTTGCAGATCTCTGATCAAGTTTCACTCCTTGCCATCTCTAAGTTTTTATTTTTTAATTAAAAAAAATTTTTTTTTTTTATTGATTTGAGAGAGAGGGAGAGAGAGAAACACCGATGAGAGAGAACATCAATTGGCCACCTCCTGCATGCCCCCCACTGGGGATCAGGCCCACAACCTGGGCATGAGCCCTGACCGGGAATTGAACTCACGATCTCTTGGTGCATGGGTCGACACCCAACCACTGAGCCACACCGGCAGGGCACCATCTCTAATTCGACTTCCCTCGATTATTTGAACGCAGGCAGACATCCAAGTGGAGCAAAACCGGCAGCACTTTTATGAACTGTCTCTCGAATATGTATGCAAGCTGCAGGAAATCCAAGAAAGAAAGAAGTTTGAATTCGTGGAACCCGTAAGTATTGCAGCTGATGGTCGACTGGTGTGGTGTGGTGCAGTGGTTTCCATTCTAGCTTTAATGGGCGCCTTCCAGAGGCTGCAGGGCACACACATGAAGGAAGACATCACAGCCTGTGAAGGGTGGGTGTACAGCCGTGAAGTCAGGAGTCACCCACACACCTGTGGTTCTCAGCCTCAGGTGCACAGCGACTCGTAATGGACATTGTTTCTAACATGTCCAATGGACATGGTTTCGAAGACTCGGCAATTTCACTGTTAATGAAAATCCCTGTGGAAGAAGTGATATTGGAATGCGAGTGAGAGTGATAATCTTCACTCTACTCAAGTTTGTTTGCAAAGCAAGCACACCAGTGCAAAGCAGGTACACCAATGCAAACTTGGGTACTTTTTTTTTTTTTCCAGAGAGTGGGAGGGAGAGAGGGAGGAAGAGATAGAGTGAAACATCAATGTGAAAGAGATACACTGAGTGGTTGCCACCCACACAACCCCAACTAGGGCCGGGGACAAACTGCAACTGAGGTACGTGCCCTTAGCGGGAACCGAACCCGGGCCTCTTTGGTCCGTGGGCCAACGCTCTAACTGCTGAGCCAAACCGGCCAGGGCAAAACCTGGGTACTTTCAATAATTATTGGTAACACGCTATTTCTAATACAAGTTATGATGCCATTGGCCACCTAAGTTAAGAACCAGTTTGTGGAACATTTGAAACTACTTTGTGAGTTATTCTGACATTGTCTTATACTTAGTGTAGAAACACGAGTTTTGTTTGTGCTTCTAGTTCTAATAGCGTCAGCACTTAGTGTTTATGCACATACATGAATGTATTTATCTTCTGAATCAAAATGTAAAGTGTATTTCATACTGTGGGTGTTAGCAAAAAATACCAAGAAACACTGGAATTTGATTTTTAATGTTAATTTTAATGTAGATGTCTTTGTGTCTGATTAAAAAGACAGCTTCATTGGTATAAAATTCACTTGCCCTTACTATTTACTCATTGTGTATATAATTTTGAGAAACAAAAGATCGATGATTAATTAAAAATTGGCATTCATGGATGCTGTGGTCCAGTTGGAGTGATAGAATTAACCCACGTTAGAGAAAATGTTTTCTTAAAGCTTTCTTTTTATGTGAAACAATGGGCGACATTTATTGAGTATTTACGATGCTCAGTCATTGTTCAAGTCAGTGTCCCAAGTCCTTTCTTGTGATCCTGCATTTTATTCCGCAGAATAGCTCCATGCGGAGTTATTTTCACGATCTCAGCAAATGAGCAGATTGAAGTAGAGAAAGTTTCAGTAGTTTGCCCCAGGTCTCCTAACAGGGCTGAGATTGGGAACTGACCCCTCGTGGCCACTTGATGTCAGAGTCCGAAGTTCCTCACCATTCACTGGGTGACATTCTGAAGTAAATGAATTTCAAGGTTTCCTTAACTCTCACCTGAAACCACTTTTACTCACTTCAGATTTACTCACATGTGGGGCAGAAGCAGCTGCCTTCTAATTGAGAGGGGGAGGTGGAGAGTTGTTAGAAAACTCAGGGCTTAATTACTGCCCTGCCTCTGCCCCCCTCGGCCCCCCTCGGCCCCCCTCGGCCCCTCTCTGCCCCCCTCTGGCCCCCTCTGGCCCCCTCTGGCCCCCTCTCTGCCCAGTGTCTGAATGTCCTTTGGACAAAGCAGGTTGTACTACACTGGTTGTCATTTAGCTCTCTGATGCTGTGATTTCACGTTCCTTACAGATTCTGTCAACCCACAGTGATAAAATTTTAATTATAAATGGATATAGCAATTCTCTTGATTAAAAAGAATACATGTATGGTGTAGAATTCCATTTCTCCTACACATTGTGCTAGAAAAGTTGTCTAATGGCTCTAATATTTAAGGAAAAATAACAGACCCTTTTAAAGGGCAAATTAATAAGTGCAGTTAGATTGATTTCAGTTCTAGTGATGTCCTTTTAATTAATTTATTTCAGTAGGATCACAGTGAGATAGAAGGAAATAAGTGACTTTTTATTCTTTTTTGGTGCTAATGTCACTCTTTCTTTTTTGTCTTAGATGCTGTCATTTTTTCAGGGAATGTTTACTTTCTATCATCAGGGCCATGAACTTGCCAAAGATTTCAATCACTACAAAATGGAACTACAGATCAACATTCAGAATGTAAGGAAATGAAAGCTTCCTGGAATTAGAAGATGTTTGAGACGTGTATTTTTGATCTATTTGTTGTAAGAAAAGTTTTAAAACTAAGACTAGGCTGATCTGTTCGTACTGAGAAACTGAGGCTACATTGCCACCTTCTGGTCAATTAACATATAACAAACTGCTCTCCAACTAGGGGAGGCTTACGGAATTCTGCCACCTGGCGGCTCTCTTTAAAATGTCATGTAATTAATTTTTCTCATGTTCAGAAGTCACCAAGTATGTTTTTATAATCAAGATTCACATAATTTGTTTATTTCTAATTTTTACTTTTCCAGCTTTATTGACATATAATTGCCAGACAACACTGTGTAAGTTTAAGGTCTACAGAATAATGACTTACATATGTGGCAAAATGATTACTGCAATAACTAGTTAATATCTGTCACCTCATATGATTACCAAAAAAATTTGTTTCCTTGTGATGAAAGCTTTTAGGGTCTACTCTTCTGTCAACTTTCAGATCTATCACAGAGCAGTGTTAACTCTAGTCGCCCTGTACTTTGTGGGGTAGTTCTAAGGTAATGCAGCCCTGAGCCCTCTGGTATGAAGCAGGGCAAAGACAGTTGCAGTCCAGAGTTAAAGCAGTTCAGTTGTAATGACCTAGTTTTCTTCTCTTTTACCTGTCTATCTTACTTGATGTTTATTTCCAGGTAGATGTATGGCATGAGGAGGAATTTCTTTTCTGGGGTTTAAGCCTATATTCACTAATATATTGGCTTCCTAGTGGCTGTTGGCTGTATTATTTTCCAGGCAGATGTATGCTTTCAGTAGGTCTTCGATAAGGACAACTTTATTTGTTAAACAATATGCTGTATGTGATTTTGTTCAGAAGGTGGTTGGACGTTGTTTCTCTCCATACTTGGGTCAGTTTTGGCAGTGTGCTCATGGAATAGCCATTCAGGTTCTATTTAGTATAATTTTAGGTCCTGTTAGCAATTCAGTGAGTGGATTTTGGGACAAACTCCTAGCACATAATCGAAGACACACATGCAGACGGGCAGCAGTCTCTGCTGTCTGCTGCCTTTCAGTTTCTGAACGTCTTAGAAACTGAGGATGAATGGTTCTTGTGTAGCTTTTGTTTCTACTATTTTCAGCCATAGTTCCTACAGTGGGACTGTAGATCGTGAAATCTCTTGTGTTTTGTAATTGATGTGTGCAGATTGTTTAAACAGTCAGCTGGGTTAAAGGACTAAAAGAGTAGGTCTTCTTTCCCCCATCATTCTTTTATGTAATAGAATTTAAAAATATATAACAATGTACACGTACAGATTAGTCCTAACTTAAACAATTAGCCGTGGAATGTTTAGTCTAGTGATACTGTGATTTTTCAGAATAGCTTTGCAGGCAGCCGAACACAGTGTTGTAGAAAGAATGTCACATCGTTAGTTTAGAAGATTATAATCCTGACTTTTTCCCCCTCCTCTCACTGGCTGTATAACTTGTGGAAATTCACTTTTTCTGTCTGAACCTCGCTTGTCAAGTGCAGGGCTGGCCTGAACGAGACCCTTCGAGCAGAGCCGGCTCCCTAACTGGGGGGCCAGTGTAGAGTGGGAGGGCAGGGCCCCTTTACTCAAAATGAAGCCCGGATCTTGCTTTGCCCTCCGGTAACAGGAACAAGGGCTCCTTTGGGGAAATGGCTGATTTTAGGACTGGGCCAGAGAAAAAGTATGAGATGAACCTGGGACTCCTTTCTGGATCAGAAAGTAAGGGATTACTCAGAGAATTGGGGGGCATGTCTAAAGACACAGGAGCCATAGCCCTGCTGGCCAAATTTCAGACACTTTGAACATTAACATAAATAATGAAGAGTATGGGGTAAATAGGAATGCATGTGTAGGTACACACTCCCGTCTATACAGATATGGTGTGTACATATATACGTGTGTGGGCATATACATGTGTGTGTATAAAACACATGGAAAGAAGCGAGGTTTGCGAGGAATCTCAGCCAAGTGACATAGAAGGCGAATAAGACCAGGGCGTGGTGGGTATTGAGGTAAGAAACCCTGGAGACAGAAGACATGGGAAGTGGCCATCGACACATGAGGTCCACCCGCTTTGCAGCCTTGGAAGTTCTTGTCACATAAACAGGTCTTTCAAAACCCCCTCAGCTTGGGTTGAAGTCTCTGTAGGTAAGTTTCTGCTTTATAATCTACATCTGTCAGATGCCCCACCCCCTTAAAAAAAATCTGCCGTTCTTCTGTGTGTCTGCTGTGAGGACCCTCAATGACCCCTTTCATCATAGGGAGGAGAGAGGAGAAAAATCAGTAGAACCTTTTCGTTTCTGGTCCACCGCAGTTGTGTATCAGCTGTTTTTTAGTATTAACGCAATTTTTTTTTAGTGTGGATGAAAGCATCTTCCAGACACTCACTGGTGCCGACTCCTCAGTCACCGGGGCATTGCTGCCCCCTCCCCAGTGTGTCCGTTGTCCCCGTTGCCCCCTGACAGACAGACTGGCAGGCCGCGTCTGCTGGCTTTCAGAAACGAGATCTGTCTCCCCAGCCGTCAGAGACATTATTTGTAGGTGAGCCCCCTCCCCCCCCCCCCCCTTCTTCTGAGAAGAACCGTCATTTTCCAAGTGCCGTTGCCCTGACCTGGACAAAACGATGCTCATATTTAAGGTTAAAAGAAGAATCGCGTCTTTCAGATTCTGAGCACTTGGACATATTGCTGGTGTCATAGTAGTAATGAGTCAGGCCGACTGTTGCCGAGGAGAGACGTCCCAGGTGGACACTGTGTGACCCTCATGTTTACAGTGTCTAAGTTGCAGTGGTCGTGAGAGAAGCAGGTGCCGGAATTCTCAGGTCGAAGAGCAGAGTTATTCTGGTGGTAGCAAGCTTGCGGAGTAAGTGCTCTCCAGTTACCCTGCCCGCTCTGTTGGCAGTTTCACCACGTTCTTTGCTTCCCTTTTCTCAACAGAGGCACGCTGGAAAGGCTGGGCATATTTGAGACATTTATAGAAAGACGCTGCAAATGTAATACAGTTACCCAGAGACTTATAAATGTACACGAAAAACACTCACGCGACAACTCACACCTCGCACGTGTTTGTGTCCCTGTCAGACGCGGAATCGGTTCGAGGGAACGAGGTCGGAGGTGGAGGAGCTGATGAACAAGATCCGACAGAATCCCAAGGACCACAAGCGGGCAAGTCAGTTCACGGCAGAAGGCTACCTGTACGTGCAGGAGAAACGTAAGAGGCCGCCGCGGGCCGGTCCCTCGGGTGGTTTGGACGCCGTGCTGCGGGGCTCGGCTGTTTTGGGAGGAGTTACTCCTATCACTTGCTTTGCTTCCTCCCATCCAGAAGGTGTATTTTGCATTCTGGGGGGGAATGCATCCCTGCTCTAGGAGGGGACGGGGAGCACTGGGCTTTCCGGCCACACCCCTGGATTCTGCCCCGGCTCTGCTGAGACTTGCCCCTGAGGGAGCCGACCTGGCCCGAGGCTGAAGGAGAGGTGTGGCGGTCTCCTTTTACCTGACCCCCACCTTTATCACCACCAACACGCACACACACGTGCACACACATGTGCACACACACACACACACTCAAATATAGCTGGCCTTCAGTAACTTCAGGAGGATTGGTCCCAGGACCCCGCAGATACCAAAATGCTCCGATTCTCAAGTCCTTACATAAAGCGGGGTAAAACAGTGCATACTACAGATGCACCCCCTCCCCCAACCCCTTCCCACAACCCTACTTCTCTTTGTTGAAGTCACGAGGGATCTATTTGGCCCGGCGGTGTGGCTCAGTGGTTGAGCTTTGACCATGCACCAAGAGGTCACCAGTTCGATTCGTGGTCAGGGCACAGGCCCAGGTTGCGGGCTCGATCCCCAGCAGGGAGTGTGCAGGAGGCGGCCAATCGATGTTCTCTCTCATCAGTGTCTCTGTCTCGCTCCCTCTCCCTTCCTCTTTCTCTAAAATCAATAAAGAAAAATTATTTAAAGAGGGACCTATTTCTCTCTTTCCTTCAAATCATTTCTCTCCACAACAGTCTGAGATCGTGTGTTCTTACAACAATTATCAGGTTGATTGCACGTGGCTATCAAAGTCGTTCCTAGATGGTGTCCTGACTTATCTCACCGAGTTCTAGGTGTTGTCTCTCAGCAGCTGTTGAGTGCCTTAGCGGGCCCTTATTTTGAAGTTAAGGCACCCAGAGACCCTGACTTTGGACTGCTTGGTCTTCTTTTAACAGTGAAGCTCTTCCAGTTTACATCGTCAACTGCAGAACCTGCCTGCTAGTTAGTAGGAGGGAGGAGAATGTGAAAATATTTCTGTGTTTGCTGTTTCTTCCCCTCCCCCCTTGGTTGTAGTCAGGGTGCTTTCGTGTTCATTTCATTTGTCAGGCGGGGCGGGTTTAGCGGCGGTCAACCTGGGCAGTTCCGGAGCAGAGGTGGCCCTGAAACAGTCACGTGGCACCTGTGCTTGGAGTGGGAGGTGGTGTTCTGTGCGGTGGCAGAGGGGTGGCTCCTTTTCCACCGGCCCCTCTGATCTGGGCGTTAGTCGTCACGAAGAAGGTGGCGTGGCTGAACTCGGAGACTTCTCATGCTTTGTCTTCTGAATCTCAGTGTTGATTGGATTGGCAAGAATTAAATAAGTTTAGGATAGGGACAAGGGTGGGACAGAACTTTAGTGCCCTGTGCCACTGAAAGAGCCTATGAAGTGGAGGTGCTGTCATCCCATTTACCAGTGAGAGAAGGAAGGACGCGCCCCAGGTAGGGAGTGTCCCCGAGATCATACACCTGCTCGGGGCCGGAGGAGTTGGGCTGAGCCTGGAGTCCGGGTCGACCCTCTCCTGCGTTTCCCGCAGCTTGGATGGGTGTGAGATGTGGCATTTGCCTGTGTGGTCGGAGCTGGTAGAGCGGGTAGGGTCGTGTGGGTGTTGGGGGGATGACAGCTCAATTAGGGGGATGACCTTGCTTATATGGGGTCAGAGACTCTAAGGTTTGACTTTGTCATTTCTCAGGCATTTGGTCTAAGCTTAAGTTTTGTTTTGATTCTTAGGTGAAAATGACAGTCATGTACCATCCTCTCCTTGCAGTTTTATTCTTAGTATTGAATGAAATATCTGTGCAGTAGTTTTGTGAACTGTGGAACAAGATACGATGCCAGCTGTTGATAACAGACACACCAGGGGTTCTCTACTTCTAATCTGTGGACTAATGGTGGTCTGAGATAAGGTTTATTGTGGTCAGGAACCCCCTTCATCTCAGCCCCCCATCCCCGCCAAGATAACGTAACGCGTTTCCTGAAGCTAAATGCATTTCTTTGAAATGACTTCTTTTCCCTTTTAAGTTTGTTCTTCTTGATTTTTAGGTATAGAAGGTTGACCTGTTTGTTTTTGAAATATTGGTGATAATAGATGTTAATTGCTTTTTTAAAAACTTTTTTTCCCTTTATTAATTTTGTTAGAGAGAGAGAGAAACATTGATGAGAGAGAACATTGACTGGCCGCCTCCTGCATGCCCCCCACTGGGGATTGGGCCCACGATCTGGGCATGTGTCCTCACTGGGAATTGAACCGGTGACCTCTTGGTGCATGGGTCAACACTTAACCACTGAGCCACACCAGCACGACTGTGTTAATTGCTTTTTAAAAATGTCTTTGCTTGGTGAGAGAACCACAAAGTCACCTGTGTCGGGCCTAACTCTTGTTTACTGGCCCTTGAAATTCTAGATGCTGGGTCCCCCTGACATGGATGGACCCTTGTCTTTTAAGAGCTGGTGGTGGCAATACTGACCTAGCAAGGGGTCAGACGTGGTTCTGAGGATGTTCTGGTGCCCATGTGGACAGCTCTTCATACTTCGTGTTCTTCATGCTTCCTGGAAAACCAAATACTTACGAGTCTGTTCCCCACACTTCCTGGTGAGGCGTGGCTGTGCCGTCACCAGGAAGGGCAGCTGCAGGGCACCTACAGCAGCTGCATTTCTAGACCAGGTGCTTTTTGTGAGCACTGTGACCCTACGGTGCCTCAGGTCGAAGGCCGGCCTTGGATCCAAAATGATCGCGTTTATTGAACCGAATGCTTGAAACCCTCATGGACTTTTTTGTTGTTAATTCTCACTCGAAGATAATTTTTCCATTGATTTTTAGAGAGAGTAGAAGGTAGGGAGGGAGGGGAGAGAGAGAGAGAGAAACATCAGTATGAGAGACTTATTGATTGGTTGCCTCCTGCATGCACCCCTGAATTGGGGCCGGGGATTGAACCTGCAACCCCTTAACTCAGAATTAAACCTGAGACCCTGCGGTCTGAGGGCTGGCGCTCTAACTGCTGAGCCACACCGGCCAGGGCCCCTCATGACCTTTTTAAAAAAATATCTTACTGTTGAAAGTATTACAGATGTCCCTCCTTTTCCCCCCATTGACACCCTCCTCACCTTCACCACACTGTTGTCTGTGTCCACTGGTTACGCGTCTGTGCATGTAAGTCCTCTGGTTTATCTCTCTCCACCCCCACCCCGCTCCTAGAAACAAGCAAATGTAGTTCACAGTGAAGAGATCCATGGGTGTGAGATAACAGCCCAGTAAACTATTTGAAAGAGTCTTGAACTCACTTCTATATTGCCGAACCTCTGGGACCTCTCCTCACCTGACTCTTTGGCCTGTGTGCCCGGTTTTCCCGTCTATTCGAAGGCGCAGTCTTTGCTGATTGGTTTCCTGAGCTGCCTTACCTGCGGCTCGCTGGGCTTTTCCTCTTCGGGATGTGGCGCTGTGCACACTCTCGTATTTGTGAGGACACAGAAGGTTCTGTTTCTCGTTGCAGGGCCTGCCCCGTTTGGGTCCAGCTGGGTCAAACACTACTGCATGTACCGGAAGGCGGCCAAGAAATTCAACATGATCCCGTTCGAGCACAGATCCGGTGGGAAACTGGTGCGTGTTGGATTCTGCGCCCGTGACCTTTGGGGGCTTGTCTGCGAAAGTGTCACTTTACAGATGTTGATATTCACTGACGATACGTACATTTTATTTTATTTTTTAGGATTAAAATCTTTGAGTTGTTGTTTCTAAATAAAGCAGGCCAGAAAACAACAGTTCATGTGTTTTGACTTGACAACATGAGTTTCTATGGTCAGATTTTTTTTTTTAAGAGGAGGGTAGAATCGCCCTGGCCGGTTTGGCTCAGTGGTTAGAGCGTCGGCCTGCAGTCCAGAGAGACCCGGGTTTGGTTCCTGCTAAGGGCACGGACCTCGGTTGCAGTTTGTCCCTGGCCTTGGTTGGGGTTGTGCAGGAGGCAGCCACTCGATGTGTCCCTTTCACGGCGATGTTTCTCTCTCTCTTCCTCCCCCTCTATCTGAACAAAAATGGAAAAATGTCCTCAGGTGAGGATTAAAAAAAAAAATGAGAGAGAAGGGTAAAATCCTCTTAAAGTCACTGCTGTCGGAAGATAAAGTGAACACCTATCTAGCTTCCACGACACAGCGTTCACACGGAAGACCCGACGTGCGCACATACGTTTTATCCCCTAGTCTCCTCCTCCCTTGGAGTGAACAGCAGGACAGCTCAGGACAGCACAGAGAGACCCGGACGCCCGCCACGCGGGCTGTGGGAAAGCTGATCTGGGTGTGTCATGGATAGGAACTGGAATTAGTAGTCTGAGACAGAGGTCGTCCCACCAGCGCTGAACAGCATTGGTGACACATTGTCAGAGAGAAGTGAGTTCAGCCATTGCCGGGTCGATGGGCATAATGTTGCTTATGTGAATACAGAACTAACCCAAGTTCCTTTCTATTCACGTATTCTTTGTATCTTCCTGGAGAAAGAAATCGCAGGTGGCTCATAATACAAATGCATTTCTGTATTCATGAAATAGACACGGAAAATCAGGCGTGTGGACAAGAGGAGGAAGGGAGTCGGTCACTCTGGAAGTCTGATGGGGTTGGAGGGAGCATAAGTTTCCTTTTAGAACTAGTGCAGGTCCTAAGACACATCGGCTTGGTGAGGTTTGTGTTAGCCACCAAGTAATAAAAAATATATCTTACAGTGCAATGACTGTGACCTTTGGAGTACTTGTACATTTGGGTGTTTGTTGACTGTTACCTGGAGATCCTCCCAGTGTAGACAGTGTTCTGGCAGCGTGTAGGCAGACGTCCGCAGTTCCTCACGGGCACCTGGGCTCCGGCCTCGCCCCTGTCCCATCGCCTGCCTCTTCTTGGTGCTTTCGGAGAGGATGGTTTGGGGAGGGAAAACAATACCACGAAACATTAAGGAAAGATGCATTCGGGATGTTCACCGAGAAGACAGAAGTACGTGGATTGAGTGGTTCTAGCTTTAAATTTCAGGATAGCTGGTCTAGGGCCCTGCGTGCACTCCGAGGTGGACGTAGGTGGGATGGGAACTTGTATAGGTCTAAGTGGCCCCCTGCTGGCTATTTCAGATGGTATAATGTGACAGGAAATAAAAACAAATTCTTCTTCTTTTTAAAAGGGTACAGTAAAAGAGGAACACATACTCTAGCAGGTGGAAGTATTTAGTTTATGTTGCTTTTTCAAACTCGCGCTCATGAGGTCTTATTGGATGGCATCGTCATCAAAGCAGGACCTGGGAAACCCTAAGAAAGGGACAATGACAGAAATGGCTAAGATTCTAAACCATGTTTATATAAAGTGGTTTGGAAGGTAATATATAGGATAAAGGGACTTAACACCTTGACCCTCCTTCCCCCACACCCCTACAGTATAGGGTACCTCTGTGTGTATATGTTTATACTGTGGTTTTTGAGAGTTTTTAACATGGTTATTTGCAGGGGGATGGAGAGGTGTTCTTTTTGAGAGAATGTACCAAGAGGCATGCCGACTCCACAGACAGAAGATTTTGTTTCGATGTAGAAGTTGCTGACCGGTAAGTAATTAGAATTATTAGACTTCATGCAAGAGTCATTTGAAAAAAATGATTTAAAAAAACAGAAGTAGCCCAGCTGGTGTGGCTCAGTGGGCTGAGTGTTGTCCGGTGCACCAAGCAAGAGGTGACTGGTTTGATTCCTGGTCAGGGTACATGCCCAGGTTGTGGGCTTGATCCCCAGTAGGGGGCGTGCAGGAGGCAGCCAAGCCATGTTTCTATGTTTCTCTCACTGATGTTTCTCTCTCCCTCTCTCTCTCTTAAAAAAATGAAATGAAATGAAATAAATAAATAAAAACAACAAAAACACAGAGGTAAGTTGCAACTGAGCTTTCCAGGACCTGAAAGAATGTTATCCTGTGACATGCGCCGTCTGCGTGTCATTCACTGTGAGTTCTTTCATCTGGGTGACAGTGTTTAGCTGTGGAGGGATAGATTGGTCTTAGCTGACATTTGGAGTCATTCTAGGCAGTGGTGTCACTTAACAAATAACCTCGGAGCATTCGTGGTTGATCCAAGCCGAATAATGGGCGAAAGTAAGGAAGTGGGTGACCAAGGTAAAAGGAGGTGCTGGGACCATCGTTCAGGAGAGTGGTCTTTGTCATTGGGGGACTTCCTGTGTGCGAGGGAGGGTCTTCGACACACTCTGTTTATTAAAGGACTAGTGTGCGTGTCGTACTTTGTGACTGGCCGTTGTTTAGTTGTAAAAGAATCTTTGCCAGAGAGAAGGAAGTGAGAGAAAAGTCCACCTGTTCATATTGCTTGGTGTCTGGCGTTGATTTCTATGCCCTCCGAGAGCACCGAGGGAAATCACGGTACTCGGTTTTGTTCTGTGTTCGTGGCCGACAGGGTGGTGGTTCTCTGCGAGCCCTGGTTTTGGACACAGTGGTCTTTAAATAAGGATGTTTCATATTTGTAGAGTAAAAGTTTTAAATAGGAGAGGTTTTTTTTTAAAGCAAAAGTTCATTTCAGGTCAGGACCTAAGTAGACTAGAATAATTAATGCTTCCTCTTCCCTTAGATGATATAACTGAACCTGCAGGGTTGGTGCAGAGGGAAACTCTGTGCTTCACTTCCTCATAAATGAGCTGAAGACAGGGACAGAAAAATGTGCCCTTAAGCACTGGGATAAATTTGGCACCATCACGAAAAGAACAGGTAGCTTAATTAGTATTTTGCCAAGATTGATTTAAAAAAAAAAAATTAAGGAGAATGTCTGTACAAAAGAGGTTAAATTTCCAGCCAGTAAAGGCTAGTTTGAAACTTTAAGAAGAGACTCCAGCCCGGCCGGAGTGGCTCAGTGGTTGAGCGTCGACCCATGCACCAAGGGGTCGCTGGTTCGATTCCCGGTCAGAGCACATGTCCAAGCTGTGGGCCCGACCCCAGTGGGGGCATGCAGGAGGCAGCCAGTTGATACTCTCTCTCATCGATGTTTTTAACCGTCTCTCCCTCTCCCTTCCTCTCTCTCTGTCAAATCAATAAAGAAAAAAAATTAAAAATAAAAGACTCCAGGGTGGGACACATCTGGAGCACAGGTGTGTGCAGACACGCACAGGGACATGGATCAAGCTCTTTCTAAGGTCCAGACAGTCTTCTGAGTTCTGTGCTTTTTCTCACTTAATCGTCACCACACCTCTGTTAGGCAGATACTATCCTTCCCACTTCATGATGGAGAACTGGGGCATGTCGGGGACTTCAGTGACCTGAGGTCACGTAGCCAGGAAGTAAAAGAGCTGAGACCTGAACTCCTGTGTTCTGCCTCCAGAGCCCGGGCTCTGAACCACTTTTCACCAGCCTCAGCCTGAGCTTCACTTTGTAATTGTGACGTTTCCTACATAATTGACGAAGGTGAGTCGCTCAGACATCTGCTAGAAAACGTGCTACAGGAGGTTAATCTGATGTGTTTTGAAAGCAGGTTACTTCTAGTTCTTCATACATTGCTTTGATGCAGTTTCTGTTACTTTCACTTAGCCCTGTGTGTTCTCTAAGACTGGTCATGTCAACTGCTCTTCATCAGTCATGATCCTTACGATGACTGTAACCTCTTTCCACCCCTCACAGAGATTGGCAGGGGATAATCATGGAGTTATTTTCTTCCGTAAAGGATGATACCTGGAAGGAGACTCTCGGAGACCTTAGAGCTGATTTAGTCCAGTGGTTCAAAGTGGTTTATAGGGAGTCCTCTTTTCAAACAAAATGCTGTGCATATATGGAACAGGAAAAGGCGCTTCCATATTAAGGGGTAGGGCTGCACCCCTCCGCTTCAGGTTTCTTCCTTGTGCAGAAATCTCTGACTTCTGTCGACGCCCAGAGCTTCTCCCCAGGCTCTTGTGGCCGGAGGACCACTGATCTGGTCCAGGTGCCAGAGAAAGGCTTGCAGAGGACACGGCATCTCAGTGGGCGACTGAAGGATTATGTGGGGGCAGCTGGGGCTGAGCCCTCTGCTTCAGGCAGAGTGAAGAGCATGTGTGAAGGTCTGGAGACGAGATGGTGTGACCCATCTGAGGTTCCAGGCGACACCCAGCATCAATGGCTCGAAGAGCAGGGAGAGGGGGAGAGGAGGCTTGAAAATGGGGGCACGGACCTCACCTTGAGCTCAAGTCATTAAATGGTTTCTCAGAACTCGCTCTGGCAGAGGAAAGGTTGGGAGATGGCGAGAGGGGATGAAAGGGCCATGAGTTGGTGTGGTAGCCGCGGGAAGGGAGGCCAGGGGTTCGTTTGAGGGAGAGTTTTAGAGTTAAATTGATGTTGGAGTAGAAGGTGAAGGACTGGGAGGCTTCTGTATGGAGTAACTAGATGGTGCCGTTGACTAATAGGGAGAGTCAGGGAGGAAGAAGGATGGAGGAAGATGATGGATGCAGTTTTGGTTCAGTTGGATTGCTCTGGGACATTCAGTAAGAAACACAGTAGGATGCTGGGTATAGACTTGGCAGATTCAGCACCTTTTGACTTGGTCTTAACCTTCAACCTCTGGGAACTCTTCCATCCAGTGACTTCCATGACAGCAAACCATTCTGGGTCTTCCCAAATTCTTGGATCTCTTGATTGTTTCCTTCCTTCCATCCCCCTTCCTTTTCCTTCCTTCCCTCCCTCCCTCCCTCCCCTCCAGTCCCACCTGTCTATTCACCCGTAATTCATACTTGACACTTTCTTTTGCACCCCACTGGTTCTTCATGTTTTAGATTCTCTCTCCAGTTTCCCATTTCCCAGACCTCTTGATGTTGGAGTTCTCTGGGCTGTCCACAGCTCTTCTAACCCTGACCCTCATGTTTGTCCAGCCTCATGACTTTAAGGGTCATCCATATGTTGGTAATTCTACCTGGATCTCTTCCCTGAACTGCAGGTTCTTATATCCAGCTGCTTACTCAGTGTTGCTTCTGGGATTTCTCGTAGACATTTTGAACAGTGCCGAGGTGGGAGATGCTAATTGTTTTCTGTAAAATTTCTGAGAATTCTTGGGAAAGAAAAAAGGTATATTCTCTTTATGGGATCCAACATTTTATATAGGTATATTAATTCAATCTTATCATAGAAATACTAACATAGAAATTGTGTTTAAAAAATAGTGCATGCCAATGGTAAATATTTTTTTACAGCTCTTTGGTTAACTTGGAAAATAGCTTTCTTCATGTGGGTCTTGTTGAGTCTTTGGGATCATGCCACTTTTCAGCTGAATTACAGACTTATTTGTCTTCGGCTTCTTTTCTTATTTCTGAACAGGAAAACAGCTATTCAGAGTTGATGTTATCAGTGGGTATTGTTTATGGGGGCCCTTGGGTTCTTAACACCCCCCACTGTCAGTACGTTGCTTTTAGTCTCATTTTTGGAGTATAATCTGGAGGAGGGCAGGGCTTGTACTTTGAGGTCTTGACCCTAATTCTGGGGCATACCTAATGAAAAGTTGTTTGTTTTTTTTTATCCTCACCTGAGGACATTTTTGCATTTGTCTTCAGAGCAGGAGGGAGAGAGGGAGGAAGAGAGAGAGAGAAACATCCATGTGTGTTTTCATTCTGCTTGAAGAAAAGAAACTTAAACCCTTTCAAGTATGTGGGTATTGTAAATGGGGTTTGGTAGAGTTTCCACAGAGTTCTTACTGGGTACCTTCATAAGCAGTTGTATGGTGGATTGCACATGTTTACTCTAAATATATTGTATTTCTCCTGGTATTAATTTTTGCAGCTTTTTATTATGTTGCAAAGGAAGTCAGGTAACATTGTGACAATAGGCAGTACCTCATAAACTGCAAAGTGAAGTGTAGGCTTGCCTTTGATCTGTGTGCATGCAAATACAGAGCTTCCACTGAAGCAACTTAATTGTTGCTTGAGTTCACTGGGGATCAGGCCCACAACCTGGGCATGTGCCCTGACCGGGAATTGAACCAGCAACCTCTTGGTGCATGGGTCGATGCTCAACCACTGAGCCACACCAGCCGGGCAATTGTTGCTTGAGTTCAGATGGGATTTGGTTGCTTCTGGCAGAAAAACTCAAAGTAATCGGCTTGCATAGTATAGAAGTGTGTTTTCTCTCGTTCGGGAAGCCCAGAGGTGGTCAGAAAAGGGTTGGTGTGGTGGTTTTTGTCAGCTCCTGCTCCCCTTTGCCTTCCTAGTCCCGTTAGGCCCAAGGTGCCTGCTCCCATTTATCCCCTGGCACCATCTTGTGTTGTAGGGACACTTTCCACAGGTGGCACACACTGCTTTTGCTCGCATACCATGGGCCTAAATGGAGTTGCGTCCTTCCACCTAGTTGGAGGGAGGTTGGGAAATCGCTGCCTTTTGTTTACAAACATCCATGCACTGTTCTGATAGTCGGGGAGCCGATCACTGAGAGAGGAAGGAGGGCGGCAGCGGCGTGTGTCTGTCCAGTGAGTGATTGCTGTTCTGACTATCCATGGCTGGGTGAATGTGTGCTCCGTTCTCCTCCCCTAAATTCACTAAAGATTCCTTTTTTAGCTAAATAGTGCTTATTTTAGTACTTAACACGTGTGCTAAGAACACCACCCAAAAA